GTCCCAAATGATTTACATACATAGCCAACCAACAGTTGGTAGATATTAGACACCTTTGGAGAGCGAACACTGTGGGTACAGTGACTTGAACCTCTGATGGCCCTTGTGTTAGCTCTGAGCCACGCGCAACCATGTTGAAAAGAACCAAAACAAGCAGCTGCTATGTAGATAACCGTAACGAAAGTGACGTTAGATTCCAAATGCGATTTACACTCCTGCGCGCGAGATAAATCAAACGCACCTCAAGTGAATAAGGGGATGGAGATGAAATGAAATACCCAAATGCTGCCTCCACTGGGGCCTGATTGAGTTCAGGTGGCTGGAAAGTGTCTCACCCAGGGCTAGTTGTCAGTGAAGGATCTGCTGTCTTCTCATCTGTCTGTGCTGCAGGGCTAACTGGTGAACATCGGGTGTGTTGCTTTGACGGATGTTTGTGTGCCTCCTGTGTTGCGGGGGGACGGGCCGTTGACACACTTCATATTTCAAAGGCAAGGTCTGAGGAAGAAATGAAGATTGATGCGGAAAAATGGCGCGGCAACTCATCGCCCATTCGATACATATATTATCATTTACACATACGTGACACCTTTGAGCATGTCTGTGTATCTATATATACATATGCATGGGCGTGATCCAAGGCGCCACACATATTCACGTGGGGGTGAGTGGGGGGGTTTCCTCTGTTATTAGAGCCATGTGATATAATTGCATTTGATCTCCAAATAAACAGGGAATCAGTCCATCTCCTTGGTGGAGATGGCAGATGTGATGGACGAGCACATTAGCGGCGAGGACAACATTAGATTTGCTCAAAATTATTGATCTTTTGTTTGTGAGCCAAGTCGGCGATAAATAACAGTGCATGGGAGATGTGACTCATTATCACCGTGCCAAAAGCCCGACAGACCTCTGTCAAAACACACTCTCCTTCCCCCCTCTCTTCCTCCTTCCTTTCATCTCCGTCACTACAAACCAATTTAATCTGTTTTTAATCCTTCCCTCTTTTCTGTCGCCGGTGCCTTTAATGCGAGGCCTCACTGTCACTATCTGATTCCCTTAAAATTTTAATCCCGCACTGATAACCCTGTATTATTACATATTACACACACACACACAGGCGGCAGGACACTCACACATACATACACATATACACATGCAAATATGTACACACAGCGTTTAGTGGCTCTCTCAGTGTTTTTATTCCTTTTTACCTTCTTAGTGAAGAAAAAATCCTTTTATCACACAATGGGTAATTTATATCCATTACCAGCGTTTTCAATCCTTTTCAGCGCGGCTGTCACTGCCTTTGGCACACTCGTGATTAATGTGATCTAATAATAGTCTGCCATTATATTTCCTTTAGTAAAACATGTACCAACATCCTATTCAGCTCCACGAAATTCATTGCCCCTTAAAATATTTTTCCCCTTTTCGTTTGAAAGACAAGATTGCTGTTTTTTTTTTTTTCCCCTCCATCTCGTTGCCTCCCAGGAGGTGATTATTTGTTGGGGGGGTGAGGAGGGGTAGGACATGAGAATGATGAGAGGTGCCGTGATTCAAAGTGGTTTGTATGGATGCGTTTGTGTGTGTGTGTGTGTGTGTGTGTGTGTGTGTGTGTGTGTGTGTGTGTGTGTGTGTGTGTGTGCAGGTCGGTATCAGTGTGTGGTCCTCACACTGGTAGCGTAACATGGCCGCATTGTTGAGATTGAGAACAGTAGCTTACGTAAGCCTACACTGATTTCATTTTCACATTGTTTTGCACATTATTTTAGTTTTTCTTTTAATCAAAAAAAGTTATTTAGAAGGAAAAAACATACATTTTAATTGATAATATTTCAAGTCAGCCTGAGTTAGTCATAAAATTAGCTGTTAATGTTGTCCATAATCACAGATTTTAAAGACAGCTATATTTATATGGCTGCCCAAACCCCTGATCACAATTAAATCAATTTTCTTTCTTTTGTCTTTATCTCATTTTCTTCTTTTAGAGCAGGTAGTTTGAATGGGTGATAGAGAGGAAAGATGCTCCCCATGGAATGTGCATAGGATTAGGTGTGTGTGTGTGTGTGTGTGTGTGTGTGTTTGTGTGTGTTGCCGGGGAGGTGGTCCAGCAATGGGCTCTGTTCCCTCCCAGCCGGACAGCCTGAGCCAGTCTGCCACTCATGGGGCACGTTTCAGACGGGGCGGTGCCAACATCACACACACACACACACACACACACACACACACACACACACACACACACACACGCATGTATGAAGTCGTGCACACACACACACACACACAATCCTGGCTCCCTCCCACAAAGAGGGTTAACCCTTACTGGGTTCTTAGACTTGTATCCAGGATGAACAGGTGGTCCCACAAAACATGGGCATCCATTTCCTCATGACTTATCCCAGTGTGTGTGTGTGTGTGTGTGTGTGTGTGTGAGGAGGGAGGGGTAGACATGGGAGGAAGAAGAGATGAAAAAGAGCACACATGACTGTGGAGCTTTAGTACACCTTTTGTATGTGTGCTGGTTTTTGCATGGTACCAGGGTGCTGCTGTACGGAGCAGCTTGTGGAGGGTCCCGCCGCTGTGTGAAATTGACATCAGATGGCCGTCGTGACAAGAACAATATTACATCCAGCTTCCATTTAGCAAGGGACAGCTAATATATGTGTGCCGTTTGAACATTTGTTTGTGTGTGTGTTCCTCGGTACCTGACCCTGAGTCTGACCGCACCAAACACAGCTGTCAACACTTTACATCTATGTTGTTTTTCTCCCCTCCGTCCCTCTCTCTGCGTTTTTCCCCTCATTTTTTTTTCTCTTGAATCCCTCCATCCAGGATCCTTCCATTAAAGATAACTTGTATTGAGCCACATCTTATTCACTTCGGTCCGCCTTCCCCCTCCTGTCTCAAGTGATCCCTTCCCAGCAGAGAAAATCGAAGGTAAACCACTTCTAAGGCAAAAACTGTGCGCTCCACTTTGGATGTTTTAAATATCACCCTCTGACGGATGAGGAGATGCAGGGTTTTGATAGTTCCTTTGGTAAAACACGTCAAAATCACAAACTTACATTTGGCACCTGACCCCCTGCGATAATGTAAGTTACACTCTGCATCTGGCTGCTGTAACTCATAGCTGAGACCTTCTCTGCCTTTGATAACCGTAGTCTTTCATCTGGGAGGAAAACGCTCTGCTTTACTCCACTTGAATTTGTTCTTTTGTGATTTTTCTTGCGGCTCAGCCCCTCCGAACCTCAGACACATGTGAAATAGACGTTTTGGAAAATATGAGTAAGTAAGCAAAGAGAAAAGAGAGAAAAGCGGAGAGCAGAATGGAGCTGAGGAGATAAACATAAACAGAGCAGAGAGAAAGAAGGTTGTTCTCTGAGTCAGCAGGTTTTACTAAAGTCTGATTAAACGAGGTGGGAAACCGGTTGGGGTAGTAAATAACAGAGGTGTCAGAATGTTGCTTAATGACCTGGATATCTATTGCATGAAATATGTAGCTGCAGATCTAAGCAGGAGCTGTAGTTTTTTTTCTTTTGCCTTTAATGCCTTAATGTGCAGGGGGAGTTCAGATGTTTAAAACAGCTCGCTGTGAGTGGAAAGCAAGTTGGCTTTAAAGGCGTTCAGATAGGAATTTAACAGTATTAACACTATGTCTGTTCTTAAAATACTTTTTGAAGCATTAACCTGCAGCTGAAGGAGCATTTGTGAGAACTTTCACATAACTGATCAATCAAAACCCACCAGCATTCAGTGGATTTCAGTGTGTGGATGATGGTGGGTGCAGTCTTAAAATACTCCACAGTGTGATTTTATTATTATTCTTTATGTCAATCTGTACATACTGCTTCCTTTGCAAGGAGCTTCCATGGATGCTTTCTTTTCATCACTGATTTATTTTTTATTTTTAGATTTTTAGATTTTTTCTTCATCATTGAGGATAGAGACTGTTGTAAGCCGTAAAAATTGGTGATTTGTGCTTTTGGACTATATAAATAAACTAAACTTGACTTTTTATTTGGTCATCAGACATTTTAAACACATCATTTACTATGGATGACTAGTCAGAGTCATTGCAATAACTAATTATTTACTTTGCATTTTTTAATTTGCAATTTACTATGGATTTGTAACATTCAATATAGCGTGGGGCGGGCTAGTTATATAATATGATCATTTATTGACTTTCAATAAAGTCATTCAATTCATATCATATCATCATATTATCATTTATTAAATTTCAACTGTCCAAATGAATGTTTCAAAATTAATTATAAGTTACTCCAGTTTGTGATTTGCACGTGTGAAGAGCAATGAAAGCCATCTTATTGCATTGGACCAATTTGATCAATTTGACCATTTTATTTGGAATTTTTCACACACTTACCGTATTATATTGTGATATGGCAAATGTATGAAACAATATCAGTATCAGAAATATTCATCTGTATCATAAAGTTTATTTCAACCATATTGCTAGCCCTAACAACATGCAAACGTTTCAAATAAAAACAAATGTTGCCCTGCTAAGTGTAATATTGAAACTATGGAATATCAGACTTTTTATGCTAAATGTTAGTAAAAACGGCACGATTTGTTGTTTGGAGGCTTACATGTCATAGTAGCCTAATGTTAAAAGAATACTGGGCACAAATGATAAAATGGCCAATAACAAAAAAAAAAACACAAAAAAGTTAAAGAAATGTTGAAAGGCTTGGAGATGATGAATAAAAGTTGGTGGATGAGCAGCAGAGAGCTGGAGGTATTCAGAGGTTATTGCGGCGCAGTCAGCAGTGCAGCAGTGCAGCAGTCGATTCACCTTCCCCTCCTCTTTCCAGGGGGGGAAACCCCTTCCCGAGGAGGGGATGCTCGAAGCAAAGAGAGAAGGGGAGGGGAGGGAAGGGGAGCGGTGGTGGCGGTGAACTCAGCACTTTCCTTATCTCCTCCCTCTCTCTCTCTATCCCTCCCTCTCTCCCTGTCTGTCTCTCTCTCTCTCCCAGGGCTCCCTGATCAGTGCCGACCAGAAGCGAAGCTGAAGCTGAGGCTGGCTTAACGGGGCTAAGCACACCATCACGCTGTCTAAGAAACTACCCCCACCCACCGTCTGAGGTGACTAAGGGCTTTCAGGGAAGAGGAAGGGAGGGAGGGAGGGAGGGAAGTAGGGTGGGAGAGGGTGGCGAGAGGTTGAGAGTAAGGAAGGTGTAGGGGATAATAACTGTGGACACGTTCAGGTGTTTATTGGTGACAGTAGTCTTACATGAATGAGTGAAGCTCAAGTGGAGGAGAAAGGAAGAAAGGAGAGAAAAGAGGTCTGATGGGCCAGCTATCTACACTATGATGCAATCTGTGTGGAGTGGTGATGACGATAACTATGATGATGAGGATGATCATGATAATGAGACACTGATACACACACACACGCACACACACACAGCAGTTGGCTGGGACGTCCGTTGTATGTGGACGTACAGAGGGCCTGCATGGGCATATGAACAGATAATTCCTATTTAATCCCATCAGTTATCCGCCGTAGTAGCGTTACCCTGTCTGCCTTTACGTCCAAGCTGCCAGTCTCTTATCTCTTTTGTCATTCCTCTCTCCAGTGTCCAGACCAGAAGGTGTGTGCTGAGCACGGCCTAGGTTATGTAATATAGGTATGTGTGTGACTTGACCTGCGTTTGGGGTCCTCAGGTGTAGGGAGAGGGATTGCAAAAAGTGCAACTGAAGCCTAGCGAGGTGTGAGGAGGAGAATTTCGATTCTGAGAAAGCACTACAGCGTTGTCTGTCTGACAGACTGAAGTGGAGAACCCTGCAGGCCTGTGTGACCCAGGCCTGACGCTCTGGCGTGCTCCGAGGACGCGAGGTTAGTTCACCTTGCAGCTATTTCTTGTCCAGCTGTGGAAATGCCTTTGCCATCATATCAAGAATATCTAGCCAAGGTGTGGATGAACATGTCACATTTATCTGTTAATAGCAGGGCCTAATACTGTACATGCAGCCTTGGTAGTGATTTATTTCAGTTGATATTAAAAGTGGGGATTGACTGCGATGCCAGTTTGGCATCTTAATGCAGAAGCATGACAGAGTTAGTGAACTCTTCTCCGCTCACAGCACCTTCTCTCATCCTTTCCTTTGCCAAATTTGGACGCTGACACTAAATGGATCTGCCATAATTCAGATGTGAGTGGGAGGATATATATATATGCGTGTGTCTGTGTGTTAGTGTGTGTGCAGCTGTGTGTGGTTGTAAAGTGAGGCATTATGGCAAAAAAAAAGCCTGAATAATTTAGCACTCACATTATTTTCTAATGCCATTCTTTAGAATCTGACTGCGTCACTCTAACAAATGCGCATGTCGGAAAGTTCAGGGGATTTTGTAGGGCGCCTGTGAACAGTGAGTGATGGCAACCAGCCGACTCTCAGCTCCCTCTTGTCTACCAACAGCTCCATGTGAGCCGCGTGCACCATATTCCTTTCTCAAAACTAACGCCATGGCGAATCGAAACAAAAAGGCCACATATTTTATTTATGTGTCAAAAGTGCGGTGAAAGGAGGGTAAGGAAGGAGGGAGCGGGGCATATCACTCTATCTGTTGGTTGATATCATTCCATCCTTGCGGATCAATTCTCCCAGACAGAGGGAGATGAGAAAGGAGCAAGCACGAGGAGGGGGGTGGGAGGGAAGGAAGGAGAGCTGAAATGGTGGTCGTATTGATTTGTCAAAGAAATACAGCGTTGCGTGTTTTGCTTAAACGTCCACATAAACCTGAGCTGTCAGAGGTGGGCGGGCATATGCTGACATTTGGCCACATGGACATGGATTGTGGATTTTCTGCTTGGCTTAGCTGTACACAGTCTTACCCATCAACTTCTTGTAGAAACAAGTGCTGCCTGCTTGCTCAAAACTGTGCTTTGTGGTATACTTTGTCCCCAGTCTTATACAAAAAATCTCCCTTAATTAGTCACATAGCCCAATTGATTTAAACTTACAGTTTTGTGAGAAAAAAATCTTAACTCAAGAAGTCCACTTAGTAGCCTTCCCTGGAGCTTTCAATTGCATCTGGCAATATTCCCCAGCAGACTTTGCTTAGACATGGACTGTGGATTTTATGTTAGATGCTAAATTCTCTTTTATATGATCATGCTAGTAGCCTACTGTCACTATAAAAATGGTATACTAATGCTCAGTAGGCCTACATGATGCATGAGTATAGAGCACTGAGTAATGATCAAATTCCAAGAATCATGTTGCATTCCTGTAACACCTTCCTTTTCCACTCACTTTTCAAGCTTCAATGACAATCACAACTTGACAACAATCTAACCACCATATCCCTTACAATATCCAGGCCGTAAAACCATGATCCACCCTTAAGTCTGTTTTTTAAACATGGCCATGCATCTGCAGCTGCTCAGGCCTTTAAAATTCCTGAACAACCTTGGTAAGAGTGGAAAGAAAAACACACTGACGCTATATTTTACACATTTTGTTAAGATCTAACCTCAATTAAGACCACCCACGCAAATTTAGCTGATCATGGTGAAACACTCGCATCCAGAAACGACTAAGACAGCAACTTTGTGCCTAATTGGTTCAAGGAATTTGCCAGTGATCCTATCGTGTTTATCCAGTCCCAAAAGTCAGTCCGATATTTGACCATGGGGCAATAGAGAAAGGCCCTCTTCCACTCTGTGACTACATACCTGGCACAAGGACAAGAGTGGAGGGGGGAGATGAAATTAAAGAGCAGTTAAAGAAAACTGGAGAAAAGAGCAGAGAGTGTGCACAGGGCCATAAAAGGGATAGTTTAACCATTGATCGAGAGGAGTGGTGGAAATGGCAGCTGTAAATCAATTTTATCTTGGAGCAGCTAAAGAGTGTTTTCTAATGAGGTTAATGCCACATAATGGCTAAATTCCTCTGCTTAAAAGATGCCCTCAAGGTGGTGGCGAGAGATAGATGTCACCATGGAAAGCTTAACACCTCGCCATTCAACACCAAGCAGCAGAGGGATGCCTTTTTCTTTCAGGGAGACTGTATCCTAAATGATGTTAAACCTTCATTCATTAGAAGGTTTCAAAGGGTCATTATATTACCCAGAACACCTTTGTCTAGACAGCTTGTTTTACCAATACACAGATACATCTGTGGCTGAGATTGGGCATTTAGTAAACTATTCAGGTTATGTTGTCCACTTCCAACACAATGATAAGTTCCTCCCTGATCACATTTTAAAAAAACTGTATCAATCAAATTTGAACAACGATGGCAGGTCACCACCGAATACCACTCATCATCTCAGTGCTAGGCAGCAGGCAGGCTAGCATGTCAAACTGGAACAGGCTGGGTACTGCCACTGAAAGGACAAAATGACCCAGCACTAATAGATTATGAATCAAGTTGACCTCTGGCAAATACGAGTGTTTATGACATCATGGGGGATGAACAGTGTGACAGCAAGTACTGCATCTACACACAGTGTGTTTTCTCAAAAGTGCATTAGGGTTAAGCTAAAATGGTTTGTGAAGGCCAATATAGATTTTTCTTTGAGAGATACTGGTAGCCAATTTCTTGCCAATATTTTCATCCATCCATCTATTTAACAAAGTCAGCCTGGGTCTTGGTCAAGTCAAAGTGGCAACAGGCTAAGCAAAGTAGCCGTTGTCCTTGTTCTTGGACACATCATTCAAATCCCATTGGGATAGCCATTCCCAGATAAGATATTTAATCCCTCAAGTATGTTTTTGGTCTGTCTTCCCTGGGGATCTATTCCGATATGGATATACTTGGAATACCTCCACAACCTGATTAGATACCCAAAACAACCCAGCTGACTCTTTCTGAAACTCCTTCGGGACATCTGGCCTTCCCAGTCCGATGACATCAACATGCCACTGTCGGCAACAAACCTGAGGTCAGCAAAGTGGCATTGGCACTGTCAATGCTGAACTTAAAATGGACAATTTAGTCTATTAGGGCCCCATGCAGGTCTGAATAAAAAGAGCATCTGAATCTGCCTTTAGACCATTTGATCAAAACTTCAAATTAAAATCAAATTTTCTCAAAAACAAAAAGAAAACGATAACCCAGTCCTGACCAACGGGTAAAGCACTACTTTGTGCATTCAATGACAATGAATGTCAATGTTTTTTGTGTGTCTTGACCAGACACACATATAAAGTCTTTCAGTGAGTGCATACCAGCCTGAACAGTTGACAGTTGTGGAATTAAATGGGTGGGTGAGTTTTTGAAAAGCCAAGAATGTTGGTTCCAAACCAGAGCTTGTCCAAAGGTAATTACAGTGTGCAAAACACCAACATGATACAAGCAAACGTCAGCTACTGTTGCTTGGTCAGCCAGCATCTTTATTTTTACAGTTTCGTCTCTTGAATGTGCTCCTCTGCACCTTTTGCTGAGTTGGGATAGGGAGAAATAGGCAAAAGGAGAAAGCTCTGAGAGTCAACAACCAGTACAACCACAACCGATACGTGCAGGGATTCCCAAAGCATCCAGTATCAAGACTAATCACAAGTTAGCTAGCTAGCATGTCAGCAGACGCAGACGTGTTGAAATATTACATTACACAAATTACATTAGATAGTAATGGAAGCATAAGGAATCCTCTTTGTCTTCAGCGAGAGTGATCCGAGGAGTCTCTAAGCTGTAAACTAGACTCCACCATAAGGTTGTTGACGGAAAGCAGCTCGCAATCAGCAAGTGTCTCTTAGTGATGTGGAGACACTGTGGGTGCATTGCATTATGGCAGAGGCTTGGAGAACTTGGGCTTTATGAATTTCCAGTTCTCAACTCTGATATCTATCATATTGTTGGTGGATGTAGCACTGATGCAGGCTATTTAAATTTGTATTTAGTGCAACACTGACCATATATATCTGTCTAACCATATTGTGCTCATTCACAACCAACACCAGAATGGCAAACTGATGAAAAAGACTGAGGATATGCAGGAACATATTTAAGATAATGCTATCATATAACACAGTGCCTTTGATGTGTGTGTGTGTGTGTGTGTGTGAAAAGAAATTGAGTACAACCAGCGTGCAGCATGAAACTTAAGGAAAGTTCATCTCCACAGACCTCTAGCATTG